AAAAAATTCCATTACCAGCATTATACTAATGTTAGTCATATGGTGTGGTAAATGTACTTGTGCAAATTAGAGTAAATCACAGCCCATCAGTTCTATGGTGAATTTAAAAGTATTTTCCTTAGGGACATCCCCCAAACAAACTCCCACAGTGGATGCCCTCATCCATCAGGGGATCCCAGTGGGCTGATAGGGTGGTGGCGGCAACAACAAGAGTGCATTAGGCAATGTGGTCTAGCGGTCATTTTCAATTTATCACAACACCTCAATATGGCATCGCTATGGGACCTTGTGATATATTTAAATGGTGTCTAGCCAACTAGCTTTAGAACAATGAGCTGGGGGGAAACTGAGCACGACACAGGTCTGCCATCAGTGATGGGCCTGCCAAAATGCTGGGACCCTGGATGTTGCCACAGGAAGGAAGGTATGAACACAGAGCAAAGCACAGTGATATGCAACCATATCAGCTATATTTTAGGATTAACTTCTTACTAAGTCAAACAATCTGAATCACAAATATACCTAAAATACCGACATGGCATCATTACTATACTGTGGCATTATCTGACATAGACCCACAGAAACTACAAGTTTTATTCTCTGCAGTTCTAATATTATTATCATATTAATAACTGTAGCTGTTAATTTTAAAGAATGGTTGATACAGCTGCACTGTGGATGGTTTGTTACAATTCAAATATAAACTTCTAAATTTTGTTTCAACCTGTTATGGATAATTTCTGTTGTACTGGCCATCAACTTGTGATGGTCTCCAGCTAAATGCAGTAAAGATTATTGTTTGACTGGCACTGAAGATATGTCTTCATATCTTAATATGACATTAAGATATGTCATCAAATGTAATGGTTTATCAAATATAATATTTGATCCAGCAGAGACGTCCAGCACTCCGCCTTGCCCGATGAAACTCACCCTCTTTCAGCCTGTGAGGCCAGATATGGTGGACAAACTGCTTGACCACTGTCAAGCCACCTCCTCCTCCCTTGACCCTTGCCAGGCCTGGCTAATCAAAGCAGCCAGGCCTATAACAACCGAATGGACCACTGCAATAATTAATGGGTCTCTTTAGGCCCATTAGGAAGAAACTAAGTTTGGCGGCAGACAACACTGGCAATTATAGGCTTGTCGCCAATGTTTCTTTCCTCAGCAAAGTGATAGAGAAGGTGGTGGCTGACCAGCTCCAGGCCCTTTTGGATGAAACCAACACCCTGGATCCATTTCAGTCAGGCTTCAGGCCACGCCACAGTATGGAAACAGCACTGGTCACACTGTTTGATGACCTGCTGAGGGAGGCCGACAGGGGCAAAATGTCTCTGCTGGTCCTTCTCGATATCTCAGCCACCTTTGATACCATCGACCACGGTATTCTCCTGGGGAAGCTCTCTGATATGAGAATTAGTGATCTGGTGCTTGCCTGGCTCCGATCCTTCTTCTGGAGGAGTCCTCAGAGAGTACAGCTTGGTGAGAGTGTACCGGCTCCATGGAATCTTAATTGTGGGGTTCCGCAGGGCTCTATTATCTCCCTAATGCTGTTTAATATCTACATGAGGCCGCTGAGTCAGGTCATCAGGGAGTGTGGGACTTCGTGTCATCAGTACGCTAATGACACTCAGGTCTACACCTCCTTTTCTCCAACAACAGTGGATGCCGTTTCATCCCTTCAGCGCTGTCTGGAGGCCGTATTAAAATTGATGCAGGTGAATGGTCTGAGGCTGAACCCGGTCTGAGGCCCTCACCACTCTGGCCCATGCGCTTGTAGTCTCGAAATTAGACTACTGTAATGTGCTCTACATGGGACTACCTTTGAGATTGATGCAGACGCTTCAAATGGTGCAGAATGCAGCAGCCAGACTTCTTACTGTGGTGAGAAAACATCATATCTCCCCTACTCTGGAAGCCCTGCATTGGCTGCCCATTCGTTTCCGCATTGATTTTAAAGTACTAATGATGACATATAAAGCCCTAAATGGTTTAGGACCTCAGTATCTGGCAGAACACCTCCTCCCACCTAGATCTACCCGAATCACTACTTTAGTTAAGGTGGGCAGCCGAGGGGCCTAACACCGAGGGAGGCCCAAAGAGAAACAAGAAGAAAGCGGGCCTTCTTGGTAGTGACCCCTCACCATTGGAACAATCTTCCCCCAGAAATTTGTCTGGCTTGATAACTGGGTGTTTAACTGGGTTCTTTAGGCAGGCCTTCCCTCCTGTCAATGCCTAATTTATTTGTTATTTTCAATTGTAGTAATATTGTTGTTTTTTAATTATTATTATTATTCTTGTGTGCTGTTAGCCGCCCAGAGCAGACTTTGGTCTAGATGGGTGGGATATAAATCACATTACATTACATTACATTACATTACATTAAGTAAGTAAGTAAGTAAGTAAATAAATAAATAAATAAATAAATAAATAAATAAATAAATAAATAAATAAATAAATAAATAAATATTCAACATGTAGTATTTTTTAAAAAGTATATTGTATTTACTTAGGTATGAAATTTTAGTAATAACTGAAATATATCAAAGTGTCCCTCTGTTCTCTCTCTGTCCCTCCCTTCTTCCCTTCCTCGGCCCCCTGCCATGTCTGTCATGTTCCTCCGCTCCCATACTGACATGGAAATTAATTAAACAAAAATGGCAACTGCACTTCAATCGTAGTATTTTTTAAAAAGTATATTGTATTTACTTAGGTATGAAATTTTAGTAATAACTGAAATATATCAAAGTGTCCCTCTGTTCTCTCTCTGTCCCTCCCTTCTTCCCTTCCTCGGCCCCCTGCCATGTCTGTCATGTTCCTCCGCTCCCATACTGACATGGAAATTAATTAAACAAAAATGGCAACTGCACTTCAATCAGATTTACTTTTATCTACAATACATTTGGGAGGGAAGAGGTCTAAAGCCAGCAGACTTCACTCCCATGCAATGCCAAACTGTAATTGCACAGGGAGACTACATGTACAGATGCATGGAAAATGAGGGCACAGGACACACCAAAGAGGACACCAGGGCCAGCAGGAGTGGCTTATCCATAATTTTCATTGTGCACGAAACATACCCAACGGGGTTATAGCAACAGATTTACTGTTATAGCATTTAGATTTACTGTATACATGATTTAAGGAACTGGGAACAAATCTTAGGAAGCTTGTTTGAATTTATCTGACCCAAAAACCAGCAAGAACTTACCTGTTCTGAAAATCTGTGAGAAATTCAGTGGAGGCACAATGGAGTGCCTTCCAATAAGCATTTGACAGTGTAAATTACTCTACTACCAAGGGTGCCACTACTGCCGACCAGTGTGGCACAGCGGATGGAGCAGGACTTCCCAACATTGGGACTGCAGCCAACATGGTCAATGGCAAGGGATTCTGGAAGTCCAGCAGCTCTGAGGGCCTACACATCAGAAACCGATGTGCTTAAGTGTGGAAGATATCGGTACATAGTCACTGCTCAGCTGTGAAGTCTTCTGGGTAATCTCTGTCTAATTTATTGCTAGAGTTCTCCAAAGCTCTTCATAGAAAATACTAACTCCAGGTAACTGCTGACAGAGAGGAAGGATTGCAGCTGAATAGGGTATGCACAGCACAGAAGTGGGCAGTCTTGAAGGTCTAGGGGCTGCAAATGCCAAATGCCCATCCCTGGGTCTTGGAGGATCACACTTGTTCTCATGGCCCTTAACTTTCCAAAAATGTTTCTAGTTTAAAAAAAATGGGGCTTTTAAAAACTGAAAAAAGTTTGCTGGAACCTTCTAGTGGCCAACTCTCCCATTTACAAAAAATAAAAAATTGAGCTGTGAGGGGTCACAGATGCTGCCCCCCACCCGAAAATGTTGGAAAATTCTTCTCAAGGAAGAACAAGGAAACATTTTTGATCTATTAAAAACAGTAATGATCAGGGTGTGTGTGGAAGTGCTAGGGTTGCTGCATGGGGGGCCCTGGGGACCCCAGGTCACATGTTTGTTCATTTGTTTGTTTTGTATCAATTGTATGTTTTTTTTCCCAATGAGCGAACCAAAGTGGCTCATAATGTTAAAACAAGTAAAACTAAAAGCACAATAAATAACACATTAACAAGTGATTAAACTATAACAATAATTAAAACTGCGTTAAGTGACTAAAACATTTAAAACCAAACTTACTAGCTAAAAAACTGCATTCAGGGACTCAGTTATTATGATTACTAAAAGCCTGCCTGAAAAGGTGCATCAACAACTCTTGGTGGAAGGAAAAATGGGAGAGGGTTAACCTAAGTTCCCAAGGGAACAGTTATATTGCCCATCTCTATCCACAGCTCAATGGAAAACAACTTGAAATCATGTGATTGAAAGACAATAAATCTTCAACAAAAATAAATATAAATGAAGGTTTGCAATTTGTTAGTTCCATTTATTTTTACATACCAATCCGAATATTATTTTAGAAAAAGTATTCAATAAATTGAGTCCCCTTACCTTTGAACACATCTCTTTTCTGATTGGAAGGGCTGAAAGAGGATTCAGTATGTAAAGGTTTATCACTTAGTGTTAAAAGACTGGAGGGTCAATATTCATGAGTTGCTTCCAAGTTGTAAAGGTGATTTAAGTGCAAATCTACAGGTATTTGAGAAAGAAGTACTCCCTCCCCCAACTTTGCTGAAAAATCAATAGACTAGTCTAGGGTCCATATTCTATCTTGTTCACTTCCAAACGTGCACAGAAAACCAGGAAAAACATTTTCAGAAAGGAGAGTTCATTTGCCTGTTGGTTTTAAAACATTTTTGTCAAAGGGGTAAGCATGGTGCCAGAAAACGCTATCATTCTGTATCTTTCTAACAGCAACTGCTGGAAAATGTAGTAAATTTGCAGGATATCTCCTGGGGCACCGCATTTTCTGTAATTAATGTAGAAATAATAAGCCAGAAAACAAAAGAAGATGCATGATCCATAATTTGAATAGATTCCTTTGATATTACAAAAAACCAGTATGTGCAGTTTTACCTGATTCGTCAACTCTAAGTTTTTTGTTACTGGGATTGTCAGTACTGTCATCATCAGACATTTCCATTTCTTCCTCCCGCCGAATCCCCATGAGTTGTTCACTGTGAGCATTCCTGAGTTCCTACGTAAGACAAAAACCCAAACTTTACATTGATAATCAAGAGTGTATATATGGATTTCTTAAAGACACTTAATTGATTATAAACCGAAATAGGAGCATGAGATACAAAGATGTTGTTTAATTTTAAGGATTGTGTATGTTTATAGTGATTTTGGTTGAGATGTCAATTTTTTAAAATGTTCCATTTTAATGTTCTACTTGCTGACTTGTTTTCCTCGTTTCAAATTCTCATAATCTTTATTTTATTGTATGAAAGAAAGCTATTGAAATGTAAACAGCAAAACATGCCAAAATAACATGAAAACTTAATTGTAAAAAGACAATCGCACAAAAATATTTGAAGCACTGATGATGAGAAGGAGCAGTTTGAAAAGGTTCCTGACTGGAGTGTCCAAAAATCCATCCCATTGTGAGTGACAGGTGGTAGGCATGACTCATAAGTGCCTGAGAAGAAGAGGAAGGGGATGAATGCCAATTCCCTTGCACAGGCTCTGCTCCGGTACATGCATACTGTTCTCATCCCTGTTAACCACATGGCCGAGAGATGTCTGCATGAGAAATCCTACATACTTCAGCCTATTAAGTACAATTCTGCTCTGAGATCTAAAGCAAGTCGATCAGGGTCTGGCATCTATGCTGGAAACATTTCCATCCTCTCATTATTGTAATACACTGCACTCATAAGGTTTAGATAGTTCTTTTTTTCAAGCTGAAGTTTTAATTCCCAAGATACTCTGGCAGTTACCAAAGCTATTGGTTTAATTCTATACAATGTGAAAAGGTGCACCATCTTTTGACAGGAAATGTTTCAAAGATACTGTCTTACCTTTTCTGTGTGCCTTCAATATTATGCAAGAAGGATCCAATTCTCAACATAATAAATCATTAAAGATAAATCCATATCAGACAGATTTTTAGTGTGCCTAAAGTGCAAAACTGAAAGCCATAAGCCTCCATGGAAAATCGTACTTTAATGAAATAAATGTAAGGGTGAAAAGCCAGTCCACAGAGAAATCACTGGAAGGAAAAGCAGCCAGAGAACACAATCAGCAAATGTACGTATGGGCTTCACAAAAGCTCAGATCACTTTTGTTCTCACAGAAAACATGGAGTGTATGTAATGGCTGCCTTCCATAACAGTGGCAAAAAGAAGATTGAGGGAATTGTATTTTATCCTAATAATACTGTCAGGTGAAACACAAGGATGCAGCCCAGTGATTAGTGTAGTGCCTTTGAATCTGCAGACAGCTAATTTTTCTATCAACAAAGGGCCCAGTTCCCATAGAGGTGGTTTGAAATCTTTGAAATGAGGGAAAGAAGACACTTCCTTCCAAGGAATAAATGTAACTGAAAGAACACACAATTTGTTTCTTTCAGTGATTGAGGATATGAAATAATTCCTCTGAGAGATGCACCCAGAATTCATCAATGAATCTAATCCATTACAATAGAAGCCCGTGCAGCCCTTAATCACTGGAAAGGACTGAAGTTGATTAATACATGTTTTAACAAAGAATATCTGGAAACTCAAGAATTTTCCTCTCTTTTTTTAAAATAGGGGATGGCCTAATGAACCCTGTTTCAAAGATGTGAAAACTTATGGTGCAGATTACAATTTATCTGTCTATTTCAAAAAGAGTACAGAAGCATCTACAGTGTAATGCAAAAATACACACATCATGTTATATACTATTTAGACAGAAACAGGTATGGCCTGTAGGTGAACAGGGGGGCACCACATGGAAAATTTTGGAACAAATCTCTCCAACCCAGTTTGCAAGCCATCCACACTGATGAAAATAGAATTCAGTCTCAAATTCAAAGGATGCTCCATTGTTATTTCTGTAACTCCAAGGAAAACCAAACTGCTGAAAATGTGAACTTCTACTGGCTCAGGCAATTGATTTGTCTAGACTAGTGGTTCCTAAATGTTGAGGTCCAAATGCCACTGGACCTCATCTCTCCAAATTTCTGACCATGTTAGATGAGACTACTGGGAGATAAAGTCCAGTAGCATATGCAGACAAGTTTGGGAAGTGGTAGTGGACACCAAAGCTATTCACTCTCATTGGTCTCAGACTGATCAACATGATTACTTCAAATGGTGAAGCTAACAAGTAAACTTGGGATCTCCTATGTGGAAAACAGTGCCTTGCCAGTATGAATTATGGGCTCTTCCCTTCTACAGTAGGATTAGAAATAAAAAACTGCCTTCTATGGAGTGGGACAAGATATCCATTTAATGCTGACAAACAATAGCTTTCCATGGTCTCAAAGAAGGATGTTTTCTATTCCTTCTGATTTTTTATGATTTTCACCAAGAGGGACTTTCCAAAAGTGATTTATGATGCTGCACATAGGTTGATCTTTCACAGAAAAATAAAGCCAAAACTTCCACTTGTCATGCCTAAATTATTGTTGGATATACTGCACCCTACGTATGATGCCTTTGAAAGATTTTGGCAGGGAGGGACCTTTTATGGACTAGGGTGAATGTCAGTCAACTCAGTAGCATCCAATTGCTTCCTCTCTACTTCAAATTCCCCCCCCCTTCCCACCCTTTTTCAAGTCAGGGTTCTGATAGCTACAGAGTCTGCCAGAAGTCAAGAGTTAGAGTGATGTGTTCCATCAGCTATGGAACCATTCAGTTAGCCAGTAACAAAGCTTAACCTCACTGATGTAACAAGGTAATATATTTACACAATATTGAAAAAAATATATAGTGTGGGCAAATTCCAGGAAGATGCAAATCTAAACACCTAGACTAGAGATGGCATGAATTAATTTGTCCCAGGGTGATAGAATTCATCTGTGTATTCCTTTCCTCCCACCACCTGCCTGGCTGACTACTCACAAGCCTCCGTGCTCCACCCAGGTCGTCCTCCTTCGCCAGCTGCCCAGTCCAGGAAGGAGTTCGGGCTTCCCTTCCCTGCTTCCTCCAGCAGCTGACCATTCAACAGCTGTGCAAGGAGAATCCTTGCCCCTCACCCTTGTCTGAGTGTTCAGCTGCTGGAGGAGATGGGGAAGGTAAGCTCAAACTCCTTCCTGGACTGGGCAGCCAGTGAAGGAGGATGAACCAGGCGGGGCGTGGAGGCTTGTGAGTGGGGCAGCTGGCCAGGGGTTGGGGGGAGGGAATGTGCGGCACCTGTGGTGCCATGCCGACGAATTGAATTAATTCATGCCCATCTCTAACCTATGTGTCAAAATGGCATTTCTGCATGGTGAGATTACCGAACGGTTGTATATGGAACAACCACTGGGCTTCATCAACCAAAATCATCCTAACTTTGTTTGCAAACTAAAGAAAGGACTGTATGGACTTGGACAACCCGCTAGAGCTTGGAACAAAAAGCTGAAGAAGATGTTACTGCAACAAAGCTTCAAGCAAAGTGATGCAAATCAGTATTTGTTTACTAGAAGAAGAAAAATGACATTTAACTTGTATTCTTCCGTATGTAAACTACTTGCCTCTAGCTACTCGGAGAAAACAGGAATACAGAGATACAGAAAATCATCTTAACAAAAAAGTAGAAATTAAAGAGCTTGGGCATGCTGCACATTATTTAAGCATTAAGATTGTGGAGAAAACAGGAATACAGAGATGCTGCACATTATTTAAGCATTAAGATTGACAGGAAGGCAGATCATATTTACTTAATCAGAAACAAAAAATAGTTGAACTTCTAGAAACATTAGGTCTCAACATGCCCATAGTGTAACAATACCTATGCAGACAGACTTACTTAAATGCAAGGAAGAAAATGAACCCTGACCAAAAAACAATCACTATAGGACAGCTGTAGGTACACCTTTATACCTTACCAGCAGGGTGACTGGACAGCAGTAAAAAGAGAGGTTACTTACCTGTAACTCTGGTTCTTCGAGTGAATTCTTCTTCATCTGTGAATTCACACAAATGTTTTTTTCTGCACCTGCACAGAAGCTCTTGGAACCTTCTAGAGCTTTTGCACATGTTCACCAGGACCTCCCCTCTCAACGTGCATGCTCCATTCATGCAACAGAGTGCCCTCAGTTCCCATTAATAACCTACCACTGTCAAATAAGCATAAGACATACTGTATGTGACGGACAGAGGGGAAGATGGGCAGGAAGTGTGAATTCACATATGATCACTTGAGAAACCAGAGTTACAGGTAAGTAACTTCTCTTTCTTCTTTGTGGTCTCTGTGAAGGCACACAAATAGGCTATTAGCAAGCTGACTTATCAGACAATGGGTTGTTCACAGTAAAACAGAGGCCAGAACTGCTCAACTGAATGCAGCATCCACTTTAGTTCAGACTACTAGTAGTGTGAAGCATTTTGTAAAGACTCTTAGGGAGGTGGATAAGTTGAAAGGAAGGGCCTCGAACTCATATGTAACATCATGGAGAGCAAATCTGAGGTATTTGCAAAGGTCCAGACAGATAATTATATGAAAATAGGCATCCCGCAGATCTATGACCGTGAACCAGTCACCCTGCTGTGCAGTGTAACCATATTGAACTACTTCAGGGTGATGCAGAAGCTGAAGTGATGAAGATCCAGGATAGGTCATAGACTGTGGTCCTTTGGGGGGGGGGGCTGTGAAATAACAGGAATAAAATCTGGAAGTCTTGTTTGCAGACTCAACAGGGTCGATGGCACCCTTTCTGAGTAGGGAGTGCACCTTCTCCTCCAAGGTGGGGGCATGGAGGTGAATGCTATTGCATAACCAACACTGATGATAGTTAGAACCCACACATCTGAAGTGATGCGAGCCCATGTGGGTAGAGTGGGTGCAAGACGTATGATGTGTGGGGATGTCAGCAATTTATTTATTTATTTATTTATTTATCTATTTATCTATTTATTTATTTATTTATTTATTTTGTACCCCACCCATTTAGTCAACTGACTACTCTGGGTGGCTAACAACATATAAAATAAACCATTTAAAATACAGAACAAGCAATACAACAATAGAGAAGGACTCAAGATGAGAAAACAAAATAAATCAAGA